TAAAACACAGGTAAACATCTTTCTAGTATTCTCTGCTTTCAGCCAGGATCCATCTGACATCAGCACTAATATCCCTGGTTCCATGTCCTCTTCTGAATCCGGCTTGAATTTCTGGCAGTTCCCTGTCAGTGTACTACTGCAGCTGCTTTTGAATGATCTTCAGCAAAATTTTACTTGCATGTGATATTAATGATATTGTTTAATATTTTTCACATTCGATTGGATCACCTTTCTTGGGAATAGGCATAAATATGGATCTGCCAATCGGTTGGTCATGTAGCTGTCTTCCAAATTTCTTGGCACAGATAAGTGAGCACTTCCAGCGCTGCATCTGAGTGTTGAAACATCTCAGTTGGTATTCTGTCAGTTCCTGGAGCCTTGTTTTTCACCAGTGCCTTCAGTGTAGCTTGGACCTCTTCCTTCAGTACCATCGGTTCCTGATCGTATACTACCTCCTGAAATGGTTGAATGTCAACCAATTCTTTTTGGTATAGTGACATCTTCTTTTGATGCCTCCTGCATTGTTTATTTTTCCCATAAAATCCTTCAATATTGCAACTTAAGGCTTGAATTTTTTCTTCAGTTCTTTCAACTTGAGAAATGCCGAGCGTGTTCTTCCCTTTTGATTTTTTATCTTCAAGTCTTTGCACATGTCATTATAATACTTTACTGTCTTCTCGAAATGCCCTTTGAAATCTTCTGTTCAGCTCTTTCATAGCATCATCTCTTCCTTTTGCTTTAACTACTCGACGTTCAAGAGTAAGTTTCAGAGTGTCTTCTGACCTCTATTTTGGTCTTTCCTGTCTTTTTAATGACCTTTTGCTTTTTTCACGTGTGATATCCTTAATGTCATTCCACGAATTGTCTGCTCTTCGGTCATTAGTGTTCGATGCGTCAAATCTATTCTTGAGATAGTCTCTAAATTCTGGTGGGATATACTCAGGGTCATACTTTGGCTCTCGTGGACTTGTTCTAATTTTCTTCAGTTTCAACTTGAACTTGCAAAGGAGCAATTGATGGTCTGTTGCGCAGTCAGCCCTTGGCCTTGTTCTGACTGATGATATTGAGCTTTTCCACCATCTGTTTCCACAGATGTGGTTGATTTGATTCCTATATATTTTATCTGGTGAGGTCCACGTGTATATGATGCTAGTTGTGGGTTTTTCATAAATGCTTATTATCATGTTAAGGAATTTCCCTTTGATTCCTAGTATGTTAAGTGGTTTTTTTTCATCAAACGGTGTTAGATTTTGTGAAATACTTTCCTTTATCCGTTGAAATGATTGTATTTCTCCTTCATGTTATTGATTTGGTGTGTTACATTGATTTTCTAATGTTTAACTATCCTGGCATTCTGGGATAACCCCTACTTTGTCATGATGCATAATTCTGTTAATATGCTTTTGGGTTTTTAGTTTTCTAGTAACTGTTGAGTATTTTTGCATCTGTATTCATGGGGGAGATTGGTCTGTCATTTTTTTCTGGCTTTGGAATCAAAGCTCACTTCATAGAATGAATTAGGAAATGTTCCCTCTTCTGTTTTTGGAAGAGTTTGAGAAGGATTGATGAATATTCTTTTTAAATGTTTGGTGGAATTCAGCAGTGAAGCCATTAGGTCCTAATCTTTTCATGTTTGGGATGCTGTTGATTACTGATTCAATCTCTTGTTATAATTCTGTTGAAATTTTCTATTTCTTCTTGAGTCAATTTAGGTTGTTCGTGTGTTTCTAGGAATTTGCCCTTTTATGTAGATTATCTAATTTGTTGGTGTACACTTGTTCATTGTATTCTCTTGTAATCTTTTTTATTTCTGTATTATCGATACATTCATGATTTTAGTTATTTGCCTCTTCTCTGTTTGGTCAATCTAGATAAAGATTGTCAATTTTATTGATCTTTTCAAAAAACCAAGTTCTTTTTTTGATTCTGTCAATTGTTTATTCTGTATTTCATTTACTACACTGTAGTCTTTATTGTTTCTGTCCTTCTGGTTTCTTTGGGTGTATTTAACTCCTCTTTTTCTGTTTTTTCAAGGTGTGATGTTAGGTTACTGATTTGAGAGATCTTTTGTAATGTAGGCATTTAGTGCTGTAAACTTCCATCTGAGCATTATCTTCACTCCATCCCTTAAGTTTTGGAAAGTTTTGCTTTTGTTTTATTCTTCTAAGTATTTTCTAATTTTACTTGTGATTTCTTACTGGTTATTTAATACTGTGTTATTTAATTCCCACATATTTGTGAAACTTTTTCTTTTCCTTCTTCTTTTTAGTTTCATTGCATTATGGTCAGAGAAGATATAGTTTATGGCTTTAGTCTTTTTGAATGTCTCGAGACTTGGTTTTTGACCTAACCCATGGTCTATCTTGGAGAATGATCCATGTGGAAGAGAGAAGAATGTATATGTTACTGTTGTTGGGTGGAGTGTTCTATATGTGAAGTCTAGTTGTTTAATATTGTGACTCAAATCCTTTTATTTTCATATTGATCTTCTTTCTAGATATTCTATCCATTATTGAAAGCGGTATATTGAAGTCTCCAACTCCGCATGTAGAACTATTTCTTCATTCATTTCTGTCATTGTTTTGTATCCCTTTTCATTTCCTTTTAGGTATGTTTTTTAGATTTTTTTTTGTGGTTAACATGGAGATCACGTTTAACATCCTGGATTTATAACAATTGAAATGAAATTATTACCATCTTAACTTTAATAGTATACATAAACTTTGGTTCTACATAACTCCATCTCCCTGCCTTAAGTTTTGTTCTCACAAATTACATATTTGTCCATTTTGTCCCAAATAACATACATTTGCAAATATTTTTATGTATTTGTTATTTTAAACATGTATGACATAAACGAGGAACCCTAGTGGCTCAGCTGCTAACTGAAAGATCAGCAGTTCGAATCCACCAGGTGCTTTGCAGGAGAAAGACGTGGCAGTCTTCGTCAGTAAAGATTTACAGCCTTGGAAGTCCTATGGGGCACTTCTACTCTGTCCTACAGTGTCGGCATTATTTGAGATCGACTTGATTGCAGTGGGTAATGACATAAAAATTAGAGATACAAACCTAAAATACAGTAATACTGGCTTTTATATTTTCAAATATAAATGCCTTTACTTGTTTATACAGCCTGCCATTACCGTCTAGTGTTTGTTTGTTTGTTTTTCCCTCTTATTTCAGCCTGAAGGACTCTCTTTAGCAATTCTTGTAAGGCAAGTCTAGTCTAGTGGAAATCAACTTCCTAAGTTTTTGTTTATCTGGGTGTGTTTTAATTTCACCCTTATTTGTAAAGGACAATTTTGGCAGATATAGAATTCTTAGTTGACAGGTTTTTGTTTTTCTTTTAGCACTTTAACTTTGTCATCTCACTACCTTCTGGTCCGTGATATCTTTTCACTTATTGTGGATCTCTCATGTGTCATTTCTTTTGCTTTTTTCAAGTTTCTTTCTTTGCATTTGCTTTTGACAGTTTTAATTATATTTTTTCTCTGTGGATTTCTTTGAGTTACTCCTTTTTGGAGTTCATTGAACTTTTTAGATATGAAGGGTCATGTCTTTCATAAAACTTGAGACAATTTCAGCCATTATTTCTACAGATATTCTTTTTGCCACTTTCTCTCTTCCCTTTTGGGTATGCCATAATGCATGTGTTGATCTCCTTGATGGTGTTCCACAAATCCATCTGGATCTGTTCACCTTTCTTCATTCTTCTTCCTTTCTGTTCATCAGACAGTAATTTCAATTGTCCTATATCCAATTCACCAATTCTACTTGCTGAGATATACTATTTAATTCCTCTAGTGAATTTTTCATTATAGTTATTTAGTTAGTCTTTATTTCAGTTCCAAAATTTGTTTGGTTCCTTTGTATAATTCATATCTTTTTATTGATAATCTCATTTTCTTGTTATTATTAGTTGCCGATCCCATGTGTGCTGTAGAACTACTTCATAGAGTTTTCAAGGCTGTGACCTTTTGAGAGCAAATTGCCAGGCCTGACTTCTGAGGTGCCTCTGGGCGAGTTCAAAATGCCAACTTTTCAGCTAGTAGTTGAGTGCATAACCTTTTACACTACCCAGGAACTCCTCTCATTTTGTCAGTACATTGTTTTCCTTTAGTTCTTTGTTCATGTTTTCCTTTAGTTGTTTCTCTCTAGCCCACTCTGAACTTCTGGATCTGTGGTTTGGAGTCTGTTATAAATTTTGTAAAATTTGCAGCCATTATTACTTCAATTATTTGATTTCTCTTCTTATAGTATTCTTATTACGCATATGTTACACCTTTTGGTTCGCATAGTTCTTGGATATTCTGTTCCCCTTTTTTTCATGCCTTCTTCTATTTCAGTTTTGGGCATTTCTATTGACCTATTTAAAAACTTACTGATTTTTCCTTCTCCGTGTCCAATCTATGGCTGATCACTTTAAAAGCATTCTTCATTTCTATTACATAGTATTTGATTCCTAGGATTTCCTGTTGATTTTTCTTAGTTTCCATCTCCCTGCTCACATTACCTGTATGTTCTTGAATGTAGTCTACCTTTTCACTTGTCAGCCTTTTTATGTGAATCATAGTTGTATTAAATTCCCAGTCTGTTAATTCCAAAATCTCTGCCACATCTAAATCTGGTTCTGATGCTTGCTTTGTCTATTTAACCAATGGAAAAAGCTGTCAGTCCCTTTTTCCCCTTCTGCTATTTTCTGCCTTTTCTAAACCATAAATATTGAGAGGAATAATACTGGATAGGTCATAGTGAAACTATGGAGAGATAAATTCAGTATGTTAGAAGTATTGTTAAATCTATTACATAAGATGCCAACAGTCAGGAGGTTAATGTAGTCCGTGAAGGGACGACACTGATGACCAAAGTCTAGAGTAGACCACAGAACCTGGTGTGACCTATGAATTTTCAGTTCTTCAGGACTGTCAGCCTCACTCATCCTTTTGCACACATTGGGGAAGATGGTACCTGGCTGATCCAGAATATATGTGATGTTTTAGGACTCAGTGGTCTTTGAGGATGTGGCTGTGGAATTCACCCAGGAAGAGTGGGCTTTGCTGGATTTTTCTCAGAAGAAATGCTATAGAGATGTGATGATGGAAACCTTCAGGAACCTGGACTCAGGTAAGAATGGCTTCATTTTTCTTATTTAGTGAATAAATATATTGTACTCATTGACCTTTTTATAGGATTTGGGTTGAGGAATTTGAATACACTGGCAAACGTGATGGCATTTTCACTGCCCTCATGGGGCTTAGAACTCTAGTGGCTTCCACATAAAAGTAAAAATCTGTATTAAATTGACTATTTATCTCGTTGTTAAAAGCCTTGAGGCACTTTAAAATGTTGTAAGTGTGAACATTGGCTTCAGGGTCACTTTGTGGCAAAGAGAGATTTGTGTCTGGAACCTCATTAGCATTTTACCATGCTTATTACAAATTTGATGTGATTATTTTGCTAAAAACAAACTCACACCTATGTATCTATAGAGACCATGGAGACCAAAGTATTAGTTCAGCATTAGAGAAATGTGCTTATCTATCTTCCCTCGTTATCTGTCTTTCCCCATGAACACCATATCAACCACACTAATTTTTCTCCCTGAGAAGTAAGGGAAGGATCTGAGGAGAGTGCAGATATGAATTATCCAGAGCTGTAACATTTATCCAGAGCTGAAATACTTATCCTGGTGCTTATCCAGGAGGCACCAGGAAGGCAAGTATCCTTTAAAGGACCACGCCTGGTAGAGTGGGATTACATTTTAAGAAATCAACTGAAATAATCTTTAGCTTTGAGGAGGTGGAAGTTACACACTTACCTGAGCTGACTTCTTTGATTTTTCATGAGTCCTCTCATGCCTTCTGTGTTTGTGGCAAAAGACCCATTTCTTCTTTTAATATTACCTTTATGCACATGCGTTGTTTACAATACCTTTTTATTTTGCCTTCCCAGTTATATCCTACTTATATAACCATCACTCCCAATTTTCAAGGAATTATTTCTTAGTAAATTTCTTACCTTTTGGCCATTGCCGAAGTCCTATAACAGTCAAATGCCTCAAAGTCAGTCTTTCTTCACATGTACCTTCTTCCTCCTAAAATTTTCTGTTTTGTTTCTTCTTGTGAAATTCAACTTAAAATTATTGGGTCAGTTTTTAAACAGGATAATAATGGACAAATGACAGTGAAGAATGACTCCTGGTTCTCCATGTTAGGAGCGATCTTTGAATTCCATGGCATTGAATGTCAGCACAACAACCAGGGAAGGCATGTGAGGTGAGTATTATTCACATGGCAGTGAAGAGTGCCTCAAGAAAGTCTTCAAGTGTCATGACATTTCTGTGTGTGTGTGTAAAACTAGCTCTAAAATGGTGTGTTCACATAATTTTCACAACACAGTATTTCCATAAATGTGAATCAGATATTGAGTATTTCAAACATATTTCACTTGTACCTTATTAGCAGAACGCTCCATTATGTAGAAAGACCTTGACTGTAATGGTCCCACCCTCTGTGAGATGACTCAAGCTAGGCAACACATGACAACTCAGGGCAGAAAACACACATTCATTGTGTATGGTAATAGTGAAATGGTAACAAATTTAATTCTAACAACATGCTTCCTATTTTTAACAGAATATATACAGTAGAGAGCCTCTGTGAATGTAAAGATGGTAAAGTAAATAAAGGTGAAGAAGGTAATCAGTGTGGAAAAACTTACAGCTCGATTGGAAATCTTACTAGGCTCGAAAGAACTCCTGAAGCGAATCCTCCTGAATGCCTTGAGTATGGAAAAGCTTTCATGGATCATTCATCATTAGAGCATCACATCAGATCTCACACTAGATACAAACCTTGTCATTGTAAGGAACGTGGAGAAGATCGTAGTGGTCCTTCTTCCCTAAAACCACATATGAGAGAGAAACTTTATAAACATAAGGATTTTGGTAAACCTTGTAGTTGTTTCTTACCCCTCACTAAACATAAAAGAACTCAGTGTAGAGAGAGGCCTTATGAATGTAAGGAATGTGGGAAAAACTTTCATCATTCTTCAAATCTCACTAGACATATAAGAACTCACAATGGAGAAAGGGCTTATGAATGTAAGGAATGTGGGAAAACCTTCATTGATTCCTCACACCTTACAAGACATATAAGAACTCAGAGTGGAGAGAGGCCCTATGAATGCAAGGAGTGTGGGAAAGCCTTTAGTTGTCTCTCAAGCATCACTAGACGTGTAAGAACTCACAGTGGAGAGAGGCTTTTTGAGGGTAAGAAATGTGGGAAAGCCTTTAGTCAGGCCTCATCCCTCACCATGCATATGCGAACTCACGGTGGAGAGAAGCCTTATGAATGTAAGGAATGTGGGAAAACCGTTAGTTATTCCTCAACCCTCACTAGACATATAACAATTCACAGTGGAGAGAGGGCTTATGCACATAAGGAATGTGGGAAAGCCTTTAGTTATTCCTCACGCCTCACTAGACATATAATAAGTCACAGTAGAGACAGACCTTATGAATGTAAAGAATGTGGGAAAGCCTTCAGTTGTTCCTCATCCCTCACTGTACATATGTGAACTCACAGTGGAGCGAAGCCTTATGAATGTAAGGAATGTGGGAGAGCCTTTAATTATTCCTCAGCCCTTACTACACATATAAGATCTCACAGTGGAGACAGGCCTTATGAATGTAAGGAATGTAGGAAAGCCTTTAGTCAGGTCTCAGCCCTCACTACACATATGCAAACTCACAGTGGAAAAAAGACCCTATGAATGTAAGGAATGTGGGAAAGCATTTAGTTTTTCCTCATCTCTCCCTATACATATAAGATCTCACAGTGGAGAGAGGCTTTATGAATGTAAGGAATGTGGAAATTCCTTTAGTCAGTTTTCATGCCTCACTGACCATATAAGGGCTTACAATAGATACAGGTCTTATGAATGTAAAGGATGTGGGAAAACCTTTAGTTGTTTCTCATCCTGTAAACATTAGAACTCACAGTGGAGATAGGCCTTATCATAGTAAGGAATGTGGGAAAGCGTTTAGACAGTTCTCACACCTCACTGACCATATAAGATCTCACGGTAGAGAGGACTTGCGCTGCCGTGAATTGCTATCATCTGGCCCTTCTAGCCACGACTTTGGAACTCTCACAAAATGATTGCATGGGACTATGCAAATAAGATGCTGCATAGAACTTTTGTAGGGGATTGGTCAGTTGTTTTTTTTTTTATATTTTATTGTACTTCAGGTGAAGGTTTACAGAACAAATAGTTTCTCATGAAACAGTAGTACACATGTTGTTTTATGACATTGGTTAACAACCCCACGACATATTAACCCTCTAAATTCTCAACCTTTTTTTTTTTTTTGGTGAAAATACACATAGCCAAAGGTACACCATTACAAAAATTTCTACATACACAGCTCAGTGACATTGACTATGCTCTTCCAATTGTGCTGTTATTCTCACTCAAGATGAAGGCTTACAGAACAAATAGTTTCTCGTTTAAAATTTACTACAAATGTTGCCCTATGACAATGGTTAACAATCTCACAACACATCAACAATATCCTTACTCAACCTTGGGTTCCCTATCACCAGCTTCGTCGTCCCCTTCTGCCTTCTGGCCCTTGTCACTGGACTCCTGTACCTCAGTCTCATTTGGTTTTACGGGGCTGTCCACTCCCAGGCTGAACAGTGAACCTTGGAGGTAACTTCACCACTGAGCTAAAAGGGTGTCTGGGGGCCATACTCTCGAGGTTTCTCCAGTCTCCTTTAGGCCAGTAAATCTGGTCTTTTTTTTGTGAGTTAGAATTATGCTCTACATCCTTCTCCAGCTCTGTCCAGAAGCTTCTGTTGTGATCTGGTCAGAGCAGTCAGTGGTGGTAGCCGGGCACCATCTAGCTGTACTGGACTCAGTCCAGTGGAGGTCTTGGTAGCTGTGGACAATTAGTCCTTTGGACTAATCTTTTCCTTGTATCCTGTTCTCTTCATTCTCCCTTGCTCCCGAAGGGATGAGACCAGTGGAGTATCTTAGATGGCCGCTCACAGGCTTTTAAGACCCCAGACACTACTCACCAAGGTAGAACGTAGAGCATTGTCTTTATAAGCTGTGTCATGCCAATTGAGCTAGATGTTCCCCAAGATGGGATTGGTCAGTTTTGCCATCCCACTAGGTTAAAAAAAGCCCATCACAGAAAGGGGTAGAGGGACATCACCTACCATCAGGAAGACCGGCCAGGAGTGGACTGTGTCCTTTGGACCCAGGGCCCATGTGCTGAGAACCTCCTAGACTCAGGAGACATAGCTTAACACTTTAGGAGGAGTGGCGCTAGACGGGGAGAAGTGGCAAGCTCGGCAGAGAAACATGCAGCAGCTGGACCAGGACACTGGCACAAGACGTCATGGTGGGCTTCCTGGCCCATGTAGCGAGGCAGACACAGTGGGCTTGCCGACTTATAGAGTGAGAGAGCTGAGAACATTTGGGCTGGATGTTCTCTGGCCGAGTAGTGTGCCTCTGAACACTTATTGGTGTTGCTAAAGAGGTGTAACACCTGCCTGAGCAGGGGTGAGGCTGGCAGCAAAGTCCAGGATTTAAGTGGAAGACCCTGTAGTAGAGGCTGAGAAAAAGCTGTCTTGATTGAAGAACTGTATCCTGAGTTCCTGTTTTCTCAATGTTGATCCTGATCCTGAAATGTAACCTCTTACTTCCCTAATAAACCCCATTAATCGTGGGTCTGGTCTATGAGTTCTGTGTGGCTGTTGCAACGAATTATCGAACCCAGCAGAGAAAGAGTGTCTTGGGAGGCACAGCTGGTTTCAGAATTTGTAAAAATGTTGGAGGTTGAAGGTATGTTTGACCTCTACCTCATAGGAATCAGCTTTGGGCTGATGATGTTTCTCATCTTTCTCCCTGAAATTAGAAAGTGACTTCTGATGCCATACTATTTTTACAGAAGCCTTATGAATAGTAAGGGATGTGAGAAAGCTTTTAGTTGTTCCTCATCCCTTACCAAGAAGAGTTTACAGTATAGAGAGATAAGGATGTGGGAAGGACTTTAGTTATTCCTCATAACCCAAGACTAGAACACAGGACAGAGCAACCAGAGGTCAACTCAGGGAAGTCACAAAAGTAAATCAAAGCTAAAACACTGAAAATAAGGAAACAGATGTCAACATGTAAAAGATGACAACATTAAAACAAAAAGAGGGTCTAAAAAATGTAGACATAGATTTTTCATATGGAGAGGAAGGCAAGGTGATATAAAGAAATAAAAGACCAGTATAAACTTAGAAAAATAGGGGTAAATATTAAGGTAACCACAAAGGAAATTAACAATCCTACAAGTCAAAACAAAAAACTAGAAAAGTATAAAGACTCAGTAAAACTGAGCACTGGTGGGATACTTGGTGATTTTAAGAAATAGTTTTTATACTTTTTAGGTATACTTATAATGAAATAGAGTGCTCGGCTCCTAACCGAAAGTGGAACCCACCAGCTGCTCCGAAGGAGAAAGATATGGCAGTCTACTTCTGTAAAGATTTACAGCCTTGGAAACCCTATGGGTAGTTCTGCTGTGTCCTATGGGGTCACTGTAAGTCAGAATTGACTTGATGGCAGTGGGTAATAACGAAATATAGCTAAAATAACATACCTGAGATTTCCCTCAAAATCCAAGTTAGGGAGGGTATGGATAGGTAGGGATGAGTTGATCATCATTGAAGCTGGATAATGGGTACATGAGAAAATATTATACTGTACTATCTACTTGTGTATATGTTTTAAATTTTCTATAATAAAAGTTTAAAAGCAAAAAGACTACAGCCTTCAGTATGGATTATACCTCAACATAAAACAAAAATACAACTGGACCAATAAGCAACATCATGATAAATGGAGAAAATATTGAACTTGTCAAGGATTTCATTTTACTTGGATCCACAATCAACGCCAATGGGAGCATCAGTCAAGAAATCAAATGACATATTGCATGAGGCAAATCTGCTGCAAAAGAACTCTTTACAGTGTTAAAAAGCAAAGATGTCACCTTGAGAACTAAGGTGCACCTGACCCCAGCCGCGGTATTTTCAATCGCTTCATATGCATGTGAAGGTTAGACGATGAATAAGTCCAGAGAAGAATTGATTCCTTTTAGTTATGATGTTGGCAAAGAATATTGAATGTACCATGAATTGCCAGAAGAATGAACAAATCTGCCTTGGAAGAAGTACAGCCAGAATGCTCCTTAGAAGCTAGGATGGTGAGACTTCGTCGCATGTACTTTGGACATGTTATCTGTGGGCCAGTCCCTGGAGAAGGATATCATGCTTGGTAAAGGGTCAGCGAAAGAGAAGAAGACCTTCAACGAGATGGATTGACACAGTGGCTACAACAGTAGGCTCAAACATTGCGACAATTGTGTGGATGGCGCAGAACTGAGCAGTGTTTCGTTCGGTTGTACGTTCTGTTGTTCGCTATGAGTTAGAGCCAACTCGACACTTAACAACAGTATTTCCTTGTATACACATCTGAGTTTATGTATTCGCCAGTGGAAGGACATTTGAGTGTTTCCCTGGTTTTATGAGTAAAACTTCTATAAACGTTCAAGCATAGATTTTTTTCCTGTGTAAACATAGGGTTTCATTTTTCCGTGTAGGTCTTAATGGCATTGCTGTGCCGTATGGTAGGTGTATGTCTACCTTTACTAGAAACTGTTGATCTTTTTTTCCCTGCATTCTCTCTTTATTTATTTTTTGGTTAAAATGTACACAGCAAAACATAGTCCCATTCAACAATTTCTGCATGTAGAGTTTAGTGACATTGGTTACTTTCTTCAGGTTGTGTCACCATTGTGTCTCTACCCAAATTGTTTTACCACCATTAACATTGACTCAGTGCCCCCTGAACTTCTCACCTATGCTTTAGAGTTACTGTTTTCATACAGATAATTCTTTAAAAGAGTGCACTGTTCAAGTCAAACTTTCTTACAAATTGAGCTAAACTGTTGTTTGGTTTAAAAATGACTTCAGGAGATTGGGTTCAAAGTTTAAAGATTATCTCAGGGAAAAAGATTTTGGGGCTCCTCCTGTCTTAATGGGTCTAGTAAGTCTGGATTCCATAAGAATTTTAAATTATGTTCTATACTTTTTCCCTCTTGATCAGGATCTATATATCCAGTCCTTGATCAAAATGTTCAGTAATGGGAGCTGGGCTTCATCTCATTTTTCTGGTCTCCTGGAAAAGGAAGCCGTAGTTTATGGAGGTAGTTAGACCTGTAGTCCTGTTTCTTCTCCATTTTCTGGGTCTCCTTTCTCTTTTGCTCCAGGTAGAGACTAATAGATGTATTTTGGATGGCCTTTCACAATCTTTGAAGACCCCAGGCACTACTCACCAAACTAGGAGGTAAAACAGAAACTCTAGAAACAGTATTAGGCTAATCGGACTGTCCCACGAAACCAGGACCCTAAAGCTTTGAACCAAGTAAAATAATCCCATGAGAAGTTTGGTTGTACTGAAGTAGTATCAGCAGTTGCAGCCTCTCTCTCTGGTGTGTGTGTGGGTGCTGTTGTAAAATTGTATATAACTCAACATTTGCTAATTCGCCCTTTTCTGGTGTACAGTTTAGTGATATCAGTTACATTAGTCAAGTTGCGTAACCATTACTCTTATTCAATACCAATTTTGCCATTGCCATAGACAAAAACTCACTACTTCCCAGAGAATGATTTCCTCATCCTCCCTTCTGCCCCTGGTAACAACTAATAAGCATTGGCGTCTACATATTTACCTATTCTTGTTATTTCAAAAAAAGTGAGATTATACAATATTTGTCCTTTTGTGATTGACTTATTTCACTCAGCATGATGTCTTCCAGGTTCATCAACGTTGCAGCATGCATCAGGACTTCATTTTCCTTTATGGCTGAATAGTATTCCATTGTATCTAGGTATCACATTTTGTTTTTCCATTTATCCGTTGATGGGAACTTAGGTTATTCCCACTTTTTGCTATTGTTAATAGTGCTGCAATGAGCATAGGTATACATCTGTCTGTTCATATGGCTACTGTTAGGTCCCTAGGATGTATACCTAGGAGTACAACTGCTGAGTCATATGGTAGTTCTATTTTTAATTTTTTGAGGAATCATACTGTTTTT